CCTACTCCTATATATTTCAATCTTCTCCGCCGTCATTGATAAAGTGGGGGAAGACACTGGTTTTATAATTGTTGCCTCGTCCCATTTCACCACCGAACACAGTTTTGCGACATTTGCGACCAAACTGTGGCATTGGATCCTTTTTTTTACGTTATAACGATGTTCTTTTAGTCTTACTCCTAAGCTCCTGTTGGTGACGCCGATGTAGTCTTTCTTAACATCTAGTTGGATGTTTTCATAAGGAACTTTATAGACACCTGGTTTTTCTTCTGTTTTTATTCTATCCTTATCATTCCTCAATATCTTATATAAATTTGGGACTCTTTTTAAAACCATTATTGCTTGTTTCCTATTAGCGACTTCTTTCATAATACTGTTCAAATTACTATTATATGTAAACTATTATATCATTTGTCCACCAGCGTATATATTAAACCTACTCACACCCCGCTATATATACCAGCACAGTCCATGGATCCATATCGATATAAAATGGCCGCATTTCAAATTTTGATAAGAAGAGCCTATTTGTATTGTGATAGAATCGGTGACAGGAATAAAGAAATTGACAGAATATTGCAAGTAGCCCAGACCCTAGGTTACAAGAAAAGCACCATTGTAGGCTTACTCAAAAAATATGAAAGGAACAAAGAGAGAAAAAGCTTAAATACCGCTCCCAATAGACGTTTGAAGTTTACATATAATAGTAATTTGAACAGTATTATGAAAGAAGTCGCTAATAGGAAACAAGCAAGAATGGTTTTAAAAAGAGCCCCAAATTTATATTTTTGTTTTTTTGTTCTAAATTTTGATTTAAATATTTATATTTTCTACATGGAACGTATCTGTTCCATTTTCGTTTTTTCAGACCTGAGGATGGCCTGTTAATCAGGTTGAAAACGTTTGTTTTTAAAAAATATACTTCTCAGCAACAAATTAAGGTGTTTTAATGTATGTGAAATACGAAATAGTGAAACGAAAATACGNTTTGTGCAAATTATTCAGAATTCTTCCCAATAGCGAACTACCGGTAGTTTGCTATTGGGAAGGATTGAAAATGCTTTGGAGTCGATCGCGTGTTTTCCCTCTAGTACTGTACATGTACTAATGAGTGGCTTATATGTTAGAACTCCGTGTTTAGTAACTCCTCAACAATACTGCACGCGAGAAGAGCGCGACATCTCGTCCCGTGTTTTAAAAATGAAATATCCCGTTTTTTATAGTTGTTTTTTCTCTCTCTCTGTGCAGTCTGTGAAGTTTGCAACTGCTTTGTGATCTGTGTAAATAACTTCAATATTCTGAAGACATTGCTGGTACGTATAATTTGTCATCCTATCCTGCGCTGGGAACGTCAGTGGAATCATGCTCGACGTTCCAAACGCCATTGTCAAACTTCTAAGCTTACAGGAAGGCGGCGCTAAACGTCCGACGTACACGTTTTCGCGATGAAAACGTCGGCCGCAACCTTTCTAATAACTCCACTAGAAAGTAATGATGAAAAAAAAAAAACTAACAAAAGTATATATGTTACGGCCAAACCCGATTTCAAGCCAAACTAGTTAAGTTATCTCTCTTCCTGCTTTAAACCAATATTACCCTGAAGCGTACAATACATGAGAACTACCCGGGAAAGCTGAAAACAGCTGTTCACAAGGTCAACCAGTTTGTAAACAATATAGTTTGCACGTGTGAAATATCACGCCTTATTGAATAAAAGAATAACAATCGCTGCAGCTATATTTTTCAAATAAAAGCATTTATTTTAAATTAATTTGCAAGTGACATTTCGGGCGGAACAAATGCATGCGAGTGGCAAAAATGCAGAAAAGTGGAACTAGAACGAAAAGACATTTTGCACTTACAGTCACAAAAGTAATCATTATAAAAACGAATGTTGGCATTTAAACAATAAAAATAAGGTAAGTGAAGATGCTTCTAAGAGCAAATAAAAATGTCCACAAGAATGATGATAAACAACGCAAGTTCACTGTTTGTGTAGAAAAGGATATAAACAAGGTGAAAGAAAAGTACTAAAGGTACAGTACAATCGTATGAAATAAATTATATTGACAATCATTCTCAGACAATGATTGGGTTATTGATTCAGGTGTTTTAAGACAGGAAACTTAAAATTTTTCCAAAAACTTAACAAGCAAAAAGGCAACTCTATCACTGTTGCCAATTTAGCAAAGCTGAAATTGCGTGGCATCGGTGAAGGATGTATAATAAAGAAGAAATTCTCTTAGAGAATGTACTTTATGCTCCAAAGTTAGATGGAAATTTACTCTCAGTAAAAACCATAACTGATAGAGGCTGCTTAATCAAATTTGATAGTAATGTATGCACCATAAATACAATTGCTACAGGCATTGCCACAGATAGTATTTATAAGTTAATTGTTGCAACAAATAGGCAAGAGCGAGTAAACAGTGCTCAATTAATGCAAAATTGTACAAATAAAAATTGCATACCTAAGACTAGGTCACAGAAATTGTGACACAATAAAACAAATGGAAAGAAAAAACAGTAGAGTGAATAAAGTTGCATAATTGTAAACATGATTTACAATGTCCTATATGCATTAAAGCAAAGCTCACTGAATCGCCATATCCAAAGAAGTTGACTTAAGAGCTAAAGAGCCATTGGAATTGGTCCATAGTGACATATGTGGTCCAATGCAAGTAGATGTATAGGAGTAGACGTTATACTTTATTACATTTGTAGATTTACTATGGTATATCTAATTTACTATGGTATATCTAGATTTACTATGGTATCTATGGTATATCTATGGTATATCTATGGTATCTATGATATCTATGGTATATCTATGGTATCTATGATATCTATGGTATATCTAGATTTACTATGGTATATCTAATTGAAAGCAAAGATGAAGTTCTTGTAAAACTGAAAGAATTTGTAGCTTCTACTAAAAATAAATTAAGAAGAACAATTAACACACTTAGATCAGATAACGGTAGTCAATACTACATTATCTTATTAAGAAATCACTCATCAAACTACAATACCTTATTCAAAAAATGGCGTTGCAGAAAGAAAGAACAGATCTCTCATAGAAATGGCACGAGCTATGATAATAAATGCAAATCTTGCAAAATCCTTTTGGAGAGAAGCAATGATAACTGCAAATTATTTACAAAACAGATTACCTACTAAAACAATAAATAGAACATCATATGAGTTGTGGAACAAAAGAAAGCCCAACCTAAACCATCTTAAAGATTTTGGATATAAAGCATATGCTTACATAAATAAGCATAAAAGAAGAAAATTAGTTCAGAAAGCCATTGAAGGTACAGTATATTTGTAGGGTATGATATGAGAAGTAAGGGATACAGGATTTACACAAGTAATAGAAATGTAATAATAAGCAGATCAGTAAAATTCCAAGAAATGAATACAGGAAAAGAATGGAATACTAAAGATGTCTTTTAGTTTTTCTATGTTAATGAAAGTTTTCCAGAAAAGCAAGACTCAGAAGCAGAAACAGAATGTGTAGAAATGCAAACAGAAGAAGAAACAGAATCAGAGATTCCACTAAGAAGATGTGAAAGAGCAACCAAAAGGTATATTTCCAGAAAAACTGACATTCAACGCTGAAGTTAAAATTTCACATAGAAATCCGAAGTTATTTGAAGATATACTGGAATTACCAAAGAAAGAAAAGTTAAAATGGGAAAAAGCAATGAGTAAAGAAATTAATTCCTTAAAAGAAAAAAAAAACTTGGAAGTTAGTTGATCTACCATAAGATAAAAGAGCAATAGGATGTAAGTGGGTTTTCAAGACAAAGTATGATGAAAACGGAAGAGAAACAAACTACAAAGCAAGATTAGTAGCAAAAGGCTATGACCAAAGATTTGGAACTGATTTTGATGAAACATTTGCACTGGTTAAACTTACAACTATTAGAGCTGTTTTAGCTGCAGCTGAATATAAAGGAATGTACTGTACATCATGTTGATGTTAAGACTGCATTTTTAAATGGAAAATTAAATGAAGATGTTTACATGACACAACCTATTGGATTTGAAGAAAAAGAAAAAGAAGGAAAAGTATGCAAGCTACAAAAGGCTATCTTCAAAGAAAGAACATAATAGAAGTTGCGAATTGTCCAACGCAAGAAATTGTTGCTGACATCTTTACAGAACCTCTACCAAGACCTCGTTTATAAACCCATGGATATGCTCTAAATATGCCTTCATCGTGTTCGGAATTAGTGAGAGATGTTAGACCTCCGTGTTTAGTAACTTCTCAACGATAGTGCTCGCGAGAAGAGCGCGAAATCTCGTCCCGTGTTTTAAAAATGAAATACCCCGTTTTTTATAGTTGTTTTTTCTCTCTCTCTGTGCAGTCTGTGAAGTTTGCAACTGCTTTGTGATCTGTGTAAATAACTTCAATAAAGTTTTTGTGAAGACATTGCTGTTACGCATAATTTGTCATCCTTACACGGACGAATTATCGTTAACATATGGACATTAGAGTTAATGATAGAAGACATTAACCTAACACGATATACTATGAATGCAATGAACATTAACCGCAGGCGCCCTAATCCTGAAGGAAGACCTGAAGCTAGCTGTTTTTGGACGTTTTAATAGTTACAAAGGTCCCTATAACAGTTTCAGCTTCTCGGAGACAATGAACATGGATCTGGAAGTAACACTAAATGTTATTTTTGTAATTAATTCTAATAAGAATGACATTAGGAGACATGGTGTAACAAATCAACTATAGCGCAACTGTACCATTCTCGTATACCAGTGGATCGCGATATCACCTATATATAAATATATTTTATTGGTAAGAAAAGTACAGGCAGTCTTAGCAATACATTAAATCGTTTCTAATAACAAACAGAAATTACAACCGTAAAAGCTAAATAATCATAAAGCAGATTTTAATCATAATTTAAATATTTTTCCGAATTTTAAATAAAAATATTCATGTAACAACTTTATTTTTATTTTCTGAGTAGGTACTTAGAAGATGATGATTATGTGTTTGATCGCCAATCAATCCCTTTCGAAACTGCAATACAGACATTTAGCGCTAGTAAAAATTTTGAAATGAATAAGCTGAAGAAGGTCACTTTGACATACCTGAAAAAGTCAATAATCGATGGACACGTTTGTCACATCTATGATTGGGCATGCATTCAACAAGAAAAGCATCTTGAATATCTGTGCTGGAAAGAATTCGACATTTCGTGGAAGAAAATCTTCGAGAGTGAAGACTTCTTTAACTGTCAAGAAGCCACTATCAGAAGATTACTTATCTGTCCCATTTACTCTACTCTGTCTGAGCTTGATCTCCTCCATGGAATTTATCGCAGAGCCATGTGGAAAGTGATGAATGGCCAACGTTTACCTCCTGCTAGTGAAGTGATCAGACCTTTGCTTCCAGCCATCAGATTACTTACAATTGATCTGTCAGATCTAGAGAAGCACGTATTTAATCTCGGTATCCTGACACCACAAGAGATTAACTGGATAAGATCCTATTTCATAAACAAAGATTTGCCATATAGATCATGTTTTATTTGTAACAAAACAGCAAAAAGAAACATGGACGTTTATCACACGCTGTTTGACAAATGGAATTGCCATAATTTCAAGAACAATAAGAATATTAATGTGAGACCTGGCCATTCGTTCAGAGCGAAACTTTTTATAAGGAAGGAATGTTTTGCATATGCAGTGAAGCTTCCCATACGTCATCAACTGGACGATGGCATTGGCATTAGTTATGTAGCATACAAAAACGGAAAACATTTCTCTTCTGATATTCTTAGCTGCAATAAAGACGGTGAAATAAATCTGAATGTACCTGAATATCTGAAAGAGTTTAACATTTATGACTTTACGTTTATGATATCGGGTGAATACACAAATTGGAGAAGTGGAATTTATATTATCTCTCATGCTGACTGTTACATCTGTAAAGCAGATTATGATGAATTGAGTCGTAAAGAAAGTAAAGAATGGTTCGAATTTTATTGTGACATTTTGCTGCAATTTTGATATTAATGTTAACACTGTAAACACTGTTTGAATTTCTGTATTCATTTATATATACTGTATATATATTATAATTTCGAATATTGTATTAAAATGATGTTTTAAAACCCCTTTACACCCGATTTTTTTTACAAACACACCATTCAGATAAACCCGTTTTTAAGTGAAAATGAATATTTATTATAAAAACTAAAAAGTTAATTAAAAATATCCTTGAATATATTTTCTGTCATTTGAAATCACCCTTAACTTGACACTTGCAGTGTACAGTGTTTTCAACTGGAAGGATTTGTGAACAGCTGCTGACAGTCATTCCCAGGACGTTCACGTGTACGCCTTAGAGTAAGACAGGTTTTAATCAGGATGTAAACTAATTACCACATAGACTTAAATATAATACAAATTTTCCGATTTTTTGTGCTATTATAATACGTGGGGACTGAAAAAAAGGTATATATGTATATATAACAAATTCTATTGAATAAAAAAACCTGCTTATATCATAAACAACATGCAATAGCAGGGATGGAACCAGGGTGGGGCGCTATCCCTGGCTCATATAGTCAAATGAAAAATTATAGGTCAATAGGTTATAATAGTATTGCGCAGCAAGAAAGCATGTTTGAATCGTGGTGGGAAGATTCTATCATGTTGGTCGGTGATGGGAGCACTCTCTGGTAAACGAGTGGGAAACTGGCGGTTCAATGTCCTATGGTANTATACTCTTTCTATTTCCGACTTCGAGAATTCTAATTGAATTTAATGTTTGTTTCAAACACTTACTTCTGGATGATTAATGTTAATTACTTTACATTTTACTAATATACCGAACACGTGAAGATTTGTAACAATTGAAACTCTTGATACAATAAGAAAAATATTTAAAAATAAGTTATGGAAATGTAAAGTTTAATAATTTTGAAAGGATAATCACGTTTTGTATTTTTGTTTTGAATGCTGACATGACACAGAATAGACTGACACATAGGTGGCGATTTAAGCCACCAATGTGTCAGATCTGTGTAGATAAATGGCAATCAGTTTAAGCACTGATTGCCATTTATCTACACAGACTAAGTCTGTTTCAGCGAATAGGTTATTTGTTACCACTCCCTATTTTTAAATTTACCCACAAAACTCCTCCTTTCCATGTTAAGTCTATGGGAGATCCTTCTTTTGTTCATTGGACAATAAAATTCTTGTTTGCGCTTCTGTTAAGCTCTAATTGGTATATTATAGCTAAATGACTATCCTTTAACGAATAAGCATTGACTTGGGTTTGTGGGGTGGGAATTTTCTTGGAAAAAGTTATTTTTCTCGGAGCTACATTGTTAGCTACAAACATAAGCAAACAATTATAAATCATTATTCTAAGCTTGAATTTAGTAAATTTTTATAAATATTTATCCTATTTAACAAATAAGAATGTTTTTAAAACCATCCAGCCATAAATCTTTTAAAAAACAAAGTACTTCCGGTTATCATAGAACTTTCGTAATACGTAAGAAATACACGTATAATCGTTAATATAATAAAGTAATAATCTCTTGATATATACCACCGTTAGTATAATAGTGTAAATAACATAAATAGAATCAAATATACATCATCAATACTAAAAAGTGTATTGACTTAAATTTAGAATAACCACCACCCCCCTTCCACGCATCCATTTCTTGTTGTAATAACACTTTTTTTTGTGGTTTTAGGTCCCTTACCGCTCTGGGAGCACAAAGAGGCCAAGAATGTTATGTACTGAAGGGAGGTTTGGGGTTAGTGTCCCTAAATGTGCTCATAGAAGTCCCAAGCAGGGCTCATAGATACTAGTCCCTTGTGAGGGCTCATAATTTTATGTTTTATTTGTTATTTCTTCGTTTTATTCTGTATGGTGTGTTCTATGTACTGCTTTGCTAACTTACCTATATTTTTGTTTATCAAGAAGAAGGGAAAGGTAGACAGGATAGTTGCAGTTTGCGACCCAGCCCCACCTAAATTTAACGAATTTTTGGATGTTTCAAAGTGGTTGAAGTAGAGAGGCCACAGTGAAGAATCCAGCGATAAATATTTCCAGCGAATTTGGAATAGAAAATTTTTAAGGGGCTAAATACCACTGCTGGTATTAGCTACAACCTTCCGGGAGGACTGTAAACTTAAAGGAGCAGCTGGTCCCCATTAGGGGAGAAAAGAGGTGGAGGAAACCTGGAAAAACTCCACCAGGCCAGCTGAGGGAAAAGCCAAAATTATAATTACTAAATAAACGGGTGAAAAAACCAAAAGGGGATGCTGGAAAAATTTACCGAGAGTAGGTGAAATAGTGTAATAACAGAAGATGAAGATAAGATTCACCACACAATCTCCAACAGGTGTGTAGTTTTGTGTGGTGAAGAAGGCCGATGATGTATCTTGATGAGTCTTGAAGTTGTAATAGTACTAATATAGCGAGACAATGCCCCATTCGAATGAGACTCGGTTATTACTATTACTTCCAATTTAAACAAAATTAAATATTTATTTGAATACAATTAATTTAATCCCACCATACAAAAGTAAATAAAGCTAGACACGAGTATTCCGGAAACGTTTTGTTTTCTTCACAAAAATAATTGTTTTCGGGTGGGTTAACTGATAAATATATGGGTAATCGCTCGATAGTAACATAGTTGACAACAGGAAAAGAATCTCTAAAAGCTCGAATTAAAGGATCGAAACATGTATTGCACACACGATGAAAAAAATATACGAAACATTTCTTCTGTATTATTCTGGGTTTCAAACTCTTCACCTTCTGGAATTTTTCTTTCACATTCTTATAATCGGAATTTTCGTGATCGATGCAAACAGAAAAAGCATTTACCTTTTGCCCATGAAATAGCGTAAACCTGTTTACATATATTTCTTTTGGATAACTAAATGTTGAATTAAGTTTTTTCTCGTAAGAATACGCTACTACATCCTTATACAGAAGAACACATTTCGTTTCTTCTACCGATATATTTGCTTTGTGGCATAGATGCTCAGTGAGCTTGTTACTATTGTTGGGCAATATATCATACACAAAAAGTTCACTTTCACTTAGATCCAATGGATAATTAGTAACAGTGAAACCTGAAATATTTGGAAATATTGATAAATGTATTTCCGTTGTTTCTTCTGCTGACGAAAAGTTAAAAGATGTCGAAATTCTCTCTATGTCATTCGTGCATGCCCTGCATGCCCTCGAGCTAACTTCCTCATCTGTGCAGTTAATTAAACACGTGATATTAGATGATAGATATTATTACATTAAGTGACAAGAATACTCAAAATTACACAAGTACTTACCATGCATTTCTGTATCGTGATTTTGTAAGTGACGATTACGAATGTCTTTACTTTCGTCATCCATGTGTAGAGAATTCGACGTAGTTTCGGGTTTTTGTGCCAAATAGAACCAATTGTACTGAAAGTTATGGTCGAAACCAGTGTAAGGACGTACTTTATCCGATTCGCAGTTTATAGAGTTTACTAAATTAAATGGAATTTCCTATTGAAAGTAATTAAGATAATTAGAATTGCTTCGATAAATTGTGATAATTGTAAAATTTATTTTGATTTGATATTGTTAAAGTAAAGACTTAGTCTGTGTTAATGTAATAAATTGAAGTGATGTGTTTCGTTTCTTTCTATCGTTTTTCTTTTAAATATTTGTATGTATTAAAAAATTTGTGTCTACAGTTTAATTAATTGAGGTAATTAAATGAGGTAAAAAAACCGTTTACCTCATGTAATTTTAATAAAAAGTTACAATTATAAAATTTATAATCCAAATACGACCGGAGGTACACGTTAAGCTAATATATTCGATGAATCACTATAAAACATAAGCCCATTTTTGGTATGTATAAAATATACAAAACATTTCTGGCCCTCCTACGTATTATAAATTACGAGCAATTGGCCCGAAAACTGAAAAGTTTGCATAAAACGGGATTAAAAATGCTCTCACAGAAAAAAAGAAATGAATGAAGCTAGACTTAAATACAACCTTCACTTTCACAAATGAGAGATTGAAAACTAATGCGAAGTATGGAAGATTCTCTAAACATTATAAAATGTAAACACTATTAGAACTTTGAACAAAAAAATATATATATAATGATAATTCACGTTAAATAATAAAAATCTGTATAGAAGATACATGAAAAACAAAGATTTCTCAGAAAATCAACAGTACCAAGACAGAACACAACACAGATACCTGCACTTTTCACACATTTTAAAGTAATGCATTCCACAGCAATCCACATTCGTTTTCATTATCTTACAACCTTATCACCTTATGAAATGTTTCAAGACTTATAACATGTATAGAAAAAGTAATATAACAGAACAGAGAACAACACTACATCTCAAACTTCACGATATGTACTGTACTTGTAATACATTCCACTTATTAATAATTTAAGAAAGTTGTAACATTATTTTTTCATTTTGTTTAAATTACAACCATCTTAAGGCAGAAAACTTCCAATACACTTGTAGTATATCACCAATTTATATTTTTGCAACACCATTTCTTCTTCTTCTGCAAGTTCAATAAAATGAATAGGATAAACACTGACACTTTAATCTTAATGAATTTTACGTTTCAGTAATAAACATTTTCAAAATGGTTGATAATTCGTTAAATGAAAAATTATTATCTTTAAATCTATGTTGTAATTATGACCATTTCCAAGAATGTAAAAATGACACGTCACCAAGAAAACAATTTAAAATAATTACCCTTTTGATCATTGTTACTTTGTGATACATGATCCTGTCCGCAATATCTCTCCATTCTGTACAGACTTGTCTGCATACGTCTAATTCTGTATCTTCCAGATATTCAAATACACGATAAGTTATTATCTCCGGCAATTCTGTTAATGCAACGAATCCGAGTTGTGACATTTGGCATATTTCTGTTTGTTCGAGTGACGTATCTTCCATTTTATAAAATTCTCTGTAATTAAAAAAAAAGCTATTAATTAACAACACACACGGAGCACAGCTGTAGTTCCAAAATGGCGGAGTTCTTAGAATATTTTGTGAATTATTTAATTCGAAACATTTTAAAAGTAATTGATTTTTGCAATGTTCGGCTTTGTTTAGGAGAAAAAAAGTTTGTAATTTAAATTTAACGCGTGCAAGTTTTTTCTACAATAGGAAGTAAATAATAAAACATTTTAAATTAGTAAAATAAAAGTTTTTTCAAATCTTTTATTTTACTAATGAGTATCTTAAGAGAAATATTAGTACAAACCGAAAATCGAATCATTGGTGATCAAAACTTTAGAATTTTATTGTTACACTAGCTGCAAGGACCCGCTTCGCTGGGTTTTTATTTGTGGGCAAAAAATAACGATAGTGAAGATTAAGATAATTACATTATAGCCAATCTTACCACAGAATGTAAGAATCAGGTCCCCCGTTTCCAGACAGAACGTCTCCTGTTCACGTCCAGTCAAACGAACTATTTTCAATTTGATTAATTTTCTGGAACGTTTACAATCGTTCTATAACCGAACCAATTCGAATTCGAAAATTTTTAAAATCGAAATAGAAAATCTTCCACTTTCAAGCCCATATCTCCCGCACCCTTATAGCTATCGAGACGCAACCACCATAGTGCACGAATGGAGACTTGGGGCTACTACCACATACAAATGTTACTGTGAAAGACCAATATTTGTGAATGTCGACATTCGCCGACACAGACAACTGTGTGAATGTTGATATTCACCACAAACAACTGTATGAATGTTGACATTCCCCCCATTTCGGTCATTCACAGTAACACAAACACCATTCATGTGCGATGTGTAGTTTTGGCTAAAAAGTGAAATATAGGGACACACACGTCCATTTATATATATAGATAAGAATACTGTTTACTGTTATATAAAAATTGAACTTCGCACATTTCCAACGTAAAGGCAGCAATTTGGGTGCACTGAAAAAAACAACTGAATTGGGTCGCGCTTCTTTATGCAGAGCTGCTCGATCGCTACACAGCAAAGAGTTTATAAATGAAGCGCTATCCATTTCTAAACGTTTGCTGCAAGGAGTCGCTGTAGCAAAGATAAAGCAGCTTTTACGTAGTGGGTTCGCGCCTCGCCACTGACAAGCTGAATACCTAAAAGTTTTCCGGGTTTTCTCCACATCCGTAACGCCTGAATAGGGGCCAGTTACATTTAAAAAGACCTCCCGGAAGGCATTATTCCCGCGTAACGACCGTCATAAACGCATACAACTACTATTAAATGACAATTCCGTCACACTTTACCACGTGGCGATATAGCTTAGATGCCTTAGAAGCTCATGCCCAACTAGCCGATACAAAATAAGACAAGCTTTTACGTCCGCCACACGTGTAAAGCAAAATGGATGCTCGGGTGTATAATAGTATATTATGCTGTGGAAATAAAAGAGTCGAAGTAACTGTTGATAAAAATATTATAGAAAGATTAAGGATTAAATTTTAGAAAATGATTCGGAAAGTTATCTAAAAAATAAGAAATTACTATATCTTAAATATAATTTTCTATCTCCTATCTCTTTACTTTGCTCATATTTTCGGAAAGAGATATGCTCAATTCTTTGTATCTCTTTGTTTTAATATTATAGTCCTTTAACTAAAGCTCTACATTCGAATGTAGCTAAAATTAAAGGATATATTACTGCATCCATGTTTAGCTTGAGAGTAAAGCGTTTCTAAACTATATAGAAGGATGCACACATGCGGTGCGGCAACGAAAAGCGGTATCGCAAACGAATCCTCGCCGCGCGGCAGCGCAACCACACAAGTAGCAATCGAGAAAAGCACCAGAAAATCGACTTCCGCGGCGAAAAAAATGTCTTCTTTTTTCGCATGTGTGCATCTTTCTTAATACAATAACGTGTAGGGATAGCTGCTCCTGAAGTCGCTACAGTCTCTATACGTAAAGAAACTCAGCCATGAGCGTTGTGCGCAGCGCTTAAGTAAACGAGTTAGTAACATTCTCCACGGTATCTCATAACTATGCTGAGAGTTCAACAACCCGTTGCATAACTACATCGCATGCAATCGGGTCGAAATCTCCGTTTGGACGATGAGTGGCGATAATGGTGATGTAAAGGTAACTACTCTCACTTTCTCAGCAGTTTACATATGAATATAATCAAACACCAAACAATTTGCTGAGCTTATTATTTATTTACTGTTCAAACGTTTTCAGCCTACTTCTAATAGGCCATCCTCAAGACATTACCGTTCTACATTCGAACACAAAACTTTCGAATAAATTTTAAATTTAAACTTTTAACATATTTTTAAACATCTTTACAATAAATTGTAAACTATTATATATACTTATTATATTATATATTATATATAT